TGTAGTATCAAATATCATCACACCAATGCTTCTTATGAATTCATTTTCATCTCTCAGAACAGTACCAGTAAAGCATATTTAAAGATTCTGAATTTGTGATTAAATCAGAATCCAGAGGGTCTAAAAAGTGTGAGAAAGAAGGATATCAGTAATACACAGTGTTTACTGTCCCCAATTCCATAACTTTTAAACAGAAGAAAGAGAACATAAGGTTTTCTGCATATTGTCAAATGGAAGGCAAAAAATGAAATAAATTTTTTCATAAATAAATTGTTATTTTTCTGGATCTTAGAGAAGCAAGATACAACAGAAAAAAATTTTAAAAAAAACATTCTAAGTGAGCTACTCACAAAGTTTCATAAATCTTGCTTATTTATAGTCAGGATAGAAGGTGGACTTTAAGTAGATAATATTCAAAGAGGAAAGAACCCCATAATTGATGCAGGAAATATAAAAACTACTAAATAATGCGGTCAAAATTGAGAACCCCCAAATCATATAAAATACTTTCATGCACAACTCAGTTCTTACCTGTAGCAGCTCCACATATGGTTTATGGGACATTTTCACCAGTTCCTCATATATTTCTCTTAGGTCTGTCTTCTTTTGAACCATATTGGCTTCACTTTTTTTGAGTTCCTCTAAAATTCTTTTGCTTTCCTTTCTAAGAATGTCTAGATGTCGATTTTCCTCCTCATGAAGAACTGGATGTAGTTTTTTGTACTCAGCCCTGATCAGCTCTTCCCTGAGATACACGTAGTACTGTAGGGATAGATTGTCTAGATCACAATTCCAGTATGACTTTATCCTCCTCCACCTAAACCTCTCTCTTTGACCATTGTCTTTTTACCAGTATGTTACATATGCCATAATTTTATATTCATCCACATTTCAGAAATTAGAAATTCACTCTTCTTTTATCTTCATTCTTTCCCTAGTTTTTATAACAATGGCAAGGAACCAAACCCATCCTTCCCTCCAACTACTTTTATCTGCTTCATGAATGCCTGAAATATCTTAAGAAAAGGTTTTGATTGACAATTTATCCTTCAAATAGAAATTTCTATATGCAAGCAATTAGAATTTATAGCTGTCACATAAATAACTATATGCAATATTCTGATCTCTGGTTAGAAAATTAATTTTCATCTCAAACCTCCCTATGACACTGCCTGGTCATTTGTTTTCAACAACAAGGTCAAATTTTACCTTTAGGATTCAAAGCCACCAGAAATGATGTACCTAATATCCTGACACCATGATGCTATAGTGAATAATGGATGAATTTCTAGTATGTCTGTTTCAAGCTGAGTCTCAAGGAAATAGACTCATACTTACCATCCATGGACTGATTATTTTCTTCTCTTCATCTATATTTCTTTGATTTACTTGGATCTTTTCCCGTAATGATCTTATTTGCTTTAGGAGCTTCTCCTGTAAAAGAAATATAAACTCAAACAATAGAGAAGCAAGCACATTTGGTTTCAATCTCACAATGATAGAGAATAAAAAAAATAAGAGATAAGTACTTTAGTGAGAAAAAAAAAATCATAATGCTTTCTTTTTGCTATTGATGATTGTGAATTTTAGGAGATTTCAGACTGCAAAAGTGCATAATGTAGCCATGTGCCTAGGGATAGTGATAAAGATGAATAGTTTTTAGATTGGCTTCAGAATTTTGTTTTCTGATGCTCTACCCTGCTAATTCCCCAAAGCCTTTTATCTTATTTATTCCCTAGTGTTAGTAAATATTCATGCTGTATAGAAATGTATTGCATTTGTCTTTTTAGTAGCCAGTAACTCTTTTCAAAATGAGCAGTTTTTAATGCCTTAGCCATGAAAATTAAAATTAAAGTGACCAACTACTTTATCACTACCTCTGTGGAATCAAGCTCCACAAAGGCAGGCATGCTTGCATATTTTATTTATTGCTTACATTTTTGGTTCTTAGCTTCTTCCTTGATGCTTATAAAATTACCTAGCATACAGAAAAGAGTAGGGCAATCATCATCATCCAGATCCTCAGCTCTTTTGAAATCTCTTAGCTCCGCTGCTGAGCCTTCACAGTGTTCTCACTGGTGTCACTTACCTGGTATTCCTCAGCAGCCCTTTCCACTGAAGGGTGGTTGTGAGCCCTGTGCTCCTGAGTGTTGCAGCAGAGCCGACAGAGCAGGTTCTTGTTCTCCTCACAGAAGATCTTCTTTGTCTGCTGGTGGGTCACACATATATTCTTCTCAGAGTTCAGGAATTGCCTGAGATGAGCCTGCCTTGCCATAGATGTAAGATTCTTCAGAAGAATATTGTTTTTGACATCTCCCTGCTGTGATGGCTCCCTGCACACAGGGCAACGGGCAAGAATTTGGGCTTGTCCCCAGGGAAGGAAGAAACAGGGCCAACAAAAGCTGTGCCCACAGCCTATGGTGACTGGGTATATAAGGTACTTCAGGCAGACAGAGCAAGTGAGTTCTTTCTGGAACACTTGTGGTATTTCTGAATCCATTATTCTGAGGGAAGAAAACCATAAGGATTTAATCATCTACCCTTAAAGAGATAAAGACCTGCACCAATTTTTACTCATATTCTCATCGAATAGCACACTACTGTCTAGGGAATAATAAACTTGCTTTTGTACATGACAAAACAGAACAAACTGAGTAAATAAAGAATGCAAATAAATCAAATATTTAAGTGAGTAGCTCTCTATACAAGTCTGAACTATTATCAAGCACCTTTCATACTGTGAAAATATGTGATTATTTTAATCTGCTCCAGAAAACAAAGAATTCTTTACAGTTTTTATTTAGCTAAAA